CAAAATTTCGAGAAAAAAATATAAATAAATAAGGAAATGAATAAATAATAAAAATAATTAAAGAAATAAGGAAACAAAATGTGAAGAAAGAAATAATATTTATACCCTCCATGGGGTCAAGAATGTTCCATGGGAAAGGAGAAACCAAGATACGCACACCTGGGCTACCGGCCGTGCGGCACGGGTCGCTCCGGCTCGCACGGGACCCGCCCGGGAGGCCCGGCCGTGCAGGTTGACCGGGCTGGTACCGGGCCTCCCTCGCACAAAATAGGGAGCGGGGGGGTTCGGAGTGCTGACCGCCTGTGTGTGTTCCCCCGCCCCTGGAGGACCTCCCTGGCCTAAAAAAAAAAAAAAACGAGGGCCCGCAGGCCCTTGTTTTTTTCCCCCCGAAAACGAGAGATCTGCACCTTCGATCTGCGGATCGACGGCCGGGACAGAGGCGCGCGGGGCCCCCTCGCGCAGCGGGCATTTCGAATTTGAAATCGACGCCCGCCCGTTCGTCGCTACGCCCGCCCGCTGGAGTTGCCGCCCGCTGGAGTGGCCGCCCGCTGCTGCTCGTCGTCCTTGGCCGCTGGGGTTGCTGCGCCATCTCCTGCTCGAGGTCGTCCCACTGGAGCTGCCGTCCGTCGAAGCAGCCATTGCCAAGGTTGGTACCACACCCCCGGCCCCCAACCCCCCCTACCCCCCGTTTTCCTCCTCTTCCTTGGTTTCTTTTCTTCCCCCTCCTCCTCGTCATCATTGTTACTCCCCTCTTCTTCTTGCTCCCCTCTACTTCTTTCTCCTCTCTTCGTCTTCCGTCCCTCTTCCTCTTCTTCTCCTCCTCCCTTCTTCTTCTTCTTCTTCTTCTTCTTCCTCCCTTCTTCTTCTTCTTCTTCTTCTTCTTCTTCTTCCTCCCCTCTTCTTCTTCTTCTTCTTCTTCTTCTTCTTCTTCTTCCTCTTCCTCTTCCTCCCCTCTTCTTCTTCTTCTTCCTCCACCCTTCTTCTTCTTCTTCTTCTTCCTCCTCCTCCCCTCTTCTTCTTCTTCGTCCACCCTCGTTCTTCTTCTTCTTCTTTCCTCCTCCCTTCGTCTTCTGCCTCTTCTTCTTCCATCTCTATACGGTCGCTTCTTCATCGTCTTCCGTCTCTCGTCCTCTTCTTCTCCTCCTCCCTTCTTCTTCTTCTTCTTCTTCTTCTTCTTCTTCTTCTTCTTCTTCTTTTTGAGCGGGGCGGGCAGGAGGCATGGGGTCGAGGATGGCGGGAGGGTCGGGATTGTGGGATAGGGTCAGGATGGGCGGGAGGGTCGGGATGGGGGAAGGGTTGGGATGGGGGAAAGCTCGGGATGGGCGGGA